AGCCGTGCAGCCAGTGCGCGTAGTTCCACACCGTGTGGTCCACCCACTGGCAGTACACGTTCCTGCCCTGCGCCGCGGGGCACCCGGTGTCACCAATGTCATCCGGTGTCACCCGCCACCAGCGCAGCGATGACCGGGGCCAGGGCGCCCCGTGGGGACAGCGGGACAGCGCTGGGAACCCCGTGATGGGCAGGGCCAGGGGAACCCGGGATGGACATTGGGTGGCATTGGGACACCCTGGGATGGACGTGGGGACATTGGGCAGGGCTGGGACACCCCAGGAGGGACATGGAGATGTTGGGCAGGGCCGGGGCACCCATGGTGGACGTGGGGACAATGGGCAGCATGGGGCACCCCAGGGTGGACGTGGGGACATTGGGTAGCATTGGGACATCTCAGGATAGATGTGGAGACATTGGGCAGAGCTGGGATACCCCAAGAGGGACATGGGGACGTCGGGTAGGGTTGGGGTATCCCAGGGTGGACACGGGGACATTGGGCAGCACGGGGCACCCCAGGGTGGACGTGGGGACATTGGGTGGCATTGGGTCACCCCAGGGTGAACATGGAGATGTTGGGCAGAGTTGGGTCACCCTGGGATGGACATGGGAACATTGAGCAGGGTTGAGGCATGCCAAAACGGACATGGGGACGTTGGGCAGAGCACCCGGGGACACTGCGCGGTGCTGGGGACACCCCAGTGTGGACATGGAGACGTTAGGCGGCGTTGGGGCACCCCAGGAGGGACATGGGGACATTGGGCAGGGCTGGGCCAGCCCAGGGCGGATGTGGGGACATTGGGTGACACTGGGGCACCCCAGGGTGGACGTGGAGGCGTTGGGTGACATTGGGGCAGCCCAGGATGGACATGGGGACATGGCCCAGGGCGGATGTGGGGACATTGGGTGACACTGGGGCACCCCAGGGTGGACGTGGAGGCGTTGGGTGACATTGGGGCAGCCCAGGATGGACACGGGGACATGGGGCAGCATGGGGCACCCAGGGCTGC